TGGTCGATGCGCCAAGCCTGTCAGTGTTTCAGAGACATTTGGACAATGCCCTCGGTAACATGCTTTAACTTGGTCAGCCCTGAAATGGTCAGGCAGTTGGACTAGATGATCATTGTAGGTCCCTTCCAACTGAAATAGTCTGTTCTATTCTATTCTGTTCTATTCTATTCTAACTTCTCAGAAATTATTAAATTATTTTAGCTGGAACTTACCAAACATTGCAGTGTGAAACAGGTTGTTGTCACTGCAAACCTCAGCCCAAAGAACTGAAGTGTGGAATAGCTTCAAGAGAGTCCCTTCTTCAACTCAGAAGCACTGGGCAGCCTTAACTAAAAAAAAAATCAGTGCAACTTATGACACCCCATAGTTCTCTAGGTTCAGAGCTTCTTACAGATCCCAGCTGCAGGCTATTTTATGTTCAACTGGTATGAAGGGGTTGCAAGATTAAGTTCCATTGCAACCATGCCCTGAAGGATTTAACCACTATGATGGAAAGAGTCAAATCAATGTGGTTTCTCTAAAGGAGATACTGCCTCCTTGACCTTTTTAGTTCCTTGAATCTCTTAATAAAGAAGAATGTAGAGTAGAATTAGTAGTCATACCATATCTGGATTTTTTTCAAGTGTCTAGTAAGTCTCCCTTAAGAGACCATTAAAGAAGATAGCCGTGGGCAAAATCGTGTTAGATTCTTGCCTCCATTCAGTGTACAAATGAGCACAGGCCTTGCACCGCACCAGCTGCATGCTGCGTGCTGCCCAAGGCTTTCTAATAGCGTCTCTCTTCATGCCTGTCCATCACGGTCCTTAGAGCTGGCTGGTCACATACCATTGACTTTTCTTTGCTGCTGCTAATGATATGAGCCGGCAGGCCCGTCAGCAAGACAGCCTGTTTTCCAGAGATCAGTTTTCACAGGATTCCTTTGTCTGTCCTCAGGAGACCCCAGCGACACTGATGGCATTAGTAGCCCAAGCCGAGGGGTCTGCACTTCATCCGGATCGGAAAGCCAAAAGAAGAGGCGGGGGGACATCTCTTCTGTTTGGGAAAATGAACAAAATCTATTTCTTCTAAAGATCCTAAGGAAGGTAAGGAAAGGATTGATAATTCCTCAGTACAGACAGTGAATCTGTTTAGGTTATGAACACTGGAAAAAAAATAAGACACACTGTTGGGATGCAAATTTACAACCCTTTAAACTCTAATAAAATCCTTCGTACCCTGATCTATAATCTCTTTTAATATTTTTTCTTTAAATAACTGAAGGCACAATGATTTTGTGGAATGTAATATATCAGCATTACTGCGAGGTGTGGAGAAAGTTGAGCTCCAAATCCCCAAAACAGAATCTCTCACCAGTCCTTCCTCTGCTTTCAGACAGAGCACACACAGATCAATAAAACACACAACTCCCTGGGGACTGACTCTGCTAAAACACACGCAGCTCCACCCTGCCTCTTGCTCCTCTCATCTGGGGCTAGTGCCCTAAAAAAATCCCAGTCACCCACTTGGGGCAATAATTAGGCGACCAAACATTAAAAAAATGAATGCTACTGACTGGCTAGCTGTGGTACGTAACTACGGCTCTGGTATCCATCAAGGCGTGCATGTCTCCTCCGTGTCAGACAGGAGATGCTTATCCAGAGACATTATGCGAGTTTAAGTTTGCAAGCAGCCTGGGGACTTAAAATTCTGTCTCGTCTCTCTCCAGCTCTTGTGCCCAACATGTTGTGCCTGTACTGTACTTGTGTGTGCCAGAGGTATAACCTGAGTCTGTAATGTCAGAAGAGTAAATCTGCTCAGAAAGCACAGAATGAAAATGGTGTATTTTTGGGAAATGATACCAAGAATTGGCATAACACAAACCAAAATTTGCTGTCATCCAGGAAAATAATTTGACATAAACTAGAAGTTATATTCCAGATCCATTTGTCTTTTCATAGTATATATATTCATGATTCCAAAATCTCTGGACAAATCTCATTTTTATATGGGCCAAGACTTTTCAAAAAGTGTGCCTAAAACTCAGTGCCTCAAATCCATGTTTAGACACTCTGATACCAGCTTGCTTCCCCAAAATACTAGTCCACATAAAAGCCCTCAAGAATGCAAACTGAAACTGCTTCGCTAATGGGAACTTCTGAAAACCAGGTTAATGGTTGGGTCTGACCATCTCACGATTTATACACAGGTGCACACTTTCAATGTTACACACAACATGAGAAGTACCACTGCTTGCATGTTCTACAGATGATGAAATTGGGAGGCTTAGGTTACATCTTTGGCTTTAAAAATCTTGCAGAGAATCTGATAGAAAACGGAGTAGGGAAGTCCAGTCCTCTACAACTAAACTGTATTTTTAATCATTTCCTGCATGACTAACAAAAAATGCATATATATTATCCTTTTGACCAGGATACCCTGTTTCTGTAATGTGGAAGATAAAAGTAGGAACAGATTTCTCCTGTTTTGCACATTATATATTCCTTTGTCCTTGAGCATGGTAAGCGTACCACTGTATAGGAAGCAAGACATTAAGGAATTGGGTCCTCTGTTTTGTCTGCAAGGAAGTAATCACTCCCAGACATGTTTAAAAGTAAGATGCCCATCAGTTCACCTGGCCTGGGGTAGGGCTTGGGGAGAGAACCTAACATACTGACTACAAGGAATGTAGGCAAATATAGGATAATATTAGCAGTTGGACAAGTTTTTATTTCTGCAGCTGAACCTGCTGAAAGGCAAGTCAAATGTAAATAGTGAGTAATAACAGTAGCATTTTTGTGTAAATACTTTTCCTAGCACTATTATTTGCTGACAAGTACACACTCAATTGCATATTAAATATGTGTAAGTATGCAAACAAACTAAAGTCGATGTATTTCCAAAACAGTTTCCTTTTTCTGTTTCAACCCAATACATAGAGGTTGAAGCCATCGGTTTTCCTTCCAGTATCTCACTCCAGCTGATGAAAAATGAATCTTAATTAAGCTGTTTGAAAGGACTTTAGGCATTTTCCAAACACTTTCCATGGCTTGGGGATTTTCAAAAGCAGATTTTTGTCTTATTTTCCTAAAAACTCAATCCTTTCTTTCAATTATACTTCACATGTATCAGGTTCCTTTACTAAATTATGCGTTTCTGATAGAATAGCATCAGCAAGCGTTCATTTAAGCCTTACGGCTATTACACATAAACTTCTAGTTTATACATTAACTTCTGCGAAGCCTCTGCTTATTTATCCACACCACTTTTCTTCAGGTAGATTCACCCTACAGGAGTCCGGGAAACATGTCTCTCTGTTATCTGTGTTCAGAGGGACCAGAGGCAAGTAACTTCTCAGGGTGCTGATAATCTTGTGCCCTCCTCCACCCCATCCTATTTAAACCCCTTCAGCCTGCGTGGTGTCCTGCAGACGGCTGCCCTCTTGGCGGGCCAGCCTGTAGCCACCCAGCTTCTCAAAGCAGTGGCTGTAGGTAAGGTGCGAAGCTGAGCTTGGACTACTAACATCTCATAAAATACTTCTGCAAGAACAAGAACGCTGCTGTCAATTCTCGGCCATGATCCAGTCGCAGTTAAGGACACTTTGGTTGTCTAAAATCCTCCCTGGAATTTCAGTCAAATAACATGTTCCTTGCTGGAATAAAACACTCCAGAAACAGCTTGTAATGCCGCTGCGGTTCTTTGCCAAAGCGAAGCACTCTCTCCTCTTTACTGGATTAGTAAAGGATTGTTCTGGAAAGCTATTTTGTTACTATGCAATGACTTTTTAGAAGGGGCATCCAGCAGATACCGTAGCGTTGCACAAATAAAGATTAACCGGGGAAGGTTTTTCCCCCTAGCTGGTGCCCCGGCGCAGCCCCGCGCCTCAGCCCTCTGCCCCGGCCGGGCCACGCTGCAC